CTTGTGATGCAAAGTTGAATTTTCAGCAGCCATTCCTCCAGTCTTCAGTGTCACATGATCGTCCAGAAATCATTCTAATATGCTGATTTGCTGCTCCAGAAACATTTTATTATTATTATTATGATCAGTGTTGAAAACAGTTTTATTGTTTCTGTTTAAACTGATAGTTTTCTTTTTGGGGGGATTCTCTGATGACTATAAAGTTGAACACCATTTATTTGAAATATTTATTATTATTATTATTTGAAATCTTTTGTAACTATTATACATTAATAATATACTATTATATATAATATATTATTTATAATATTATAATATTTTTAAATGTATTTACTGTGACTTTTTTTCTAAACATTTTTTATTAATTAATTAAAATGCATCCTTGCTGAATAAGTATTATATATATATATATATATATAGTTGAATATATTTATACATACAGTATTCTCTACATTAGTGATGATATTGATGAAATATGGTTTAATATGCAAAATATCAGCTACACTCTTAAAAATAAAGGTGCTTCAAAAGGTTCCACAAAAAATCATTCAGTCAAAGGTTCTTTAAAGAATCATCTCTTTCTTACCTTTTTATAATCTGAAGAACCTTCTTTCACCACAAATAACCTTTGAAACATTTATTGAAACAAAAAGGTTCTTCAGATGTTAAAGGTTCTTTATGGAACCATTTAGACAAAAAGGTTCTTCTATGGCATCATGAAGCACCTTTATTTTTAAGAGTGTATATACAGTAGTGTGTGTATATAAAATAAATAGTATGTATTTGTTATAGGGCAGTGATTCTCATCTGGTGTGTCTTGACCCAAAAACCAAACATGGCACTTTATTTACTAGGATATACTAAGTAACTACAGAACATATGAAGTACATTAAACCATCAGTAGAGAGTAGCTGTAAAGAGTAGATTAGCTTGATGAATTCAGCAGAATTCCAGCACGACTCATTAGACGTCCCGAGACCAACAACAGAACGAGGTCTTAAATTTATAACTCAGTTCTCTGACTCCCTCTGTAGAAATCAAATCAAACTAGAAAACTAGCAACTGACCGATTACATCTGAGCCTGTCTCTAGGTGTGAGGTGTTTTAAAGACTCTCATGCTTTTTCTGTGGTCAGACAGATGCACACTCGTTCAATAGTCATTTTGATTCCAGTGATTTAGCTAATTACTCTGTATCAGCTCAAGTCATCGATCCCACCCCTCTCCCGCTGTCAGCCACTCCTGGGGGTCAGAGAGTGATTGACAGCCATGTGAACCAGCAGGTGTCTGCAATATGGTCATTTGCTTGTGCCAGTTTATGGCCACTTGTTTTGCAACTTTTTTTTAAGCAAATATATGCTTACATGTAAGTGTTATTGTCACAATAACATTTTCTTAGTTACTAAGATTATCAGTCACATCCATGCTCCTATTTGCATAAAATAGTGAGTAGTACTCACACTCAGGCCATATAAGATGTAGATAAGTTTGTTTGTTCATTGGAAAAGATTTGGAGAAATGTAGCATTACATCACTTTCTCACCAGTGGATCCTCTGCAGTAAATGGGTGCCGTCAGAATGAGAGTCCAAACAGCTGATAAAAACATCACAATAATCCACAAGTCATTCCAGCAGTGTGAGTCTGAGATTCTTGGGGGTGTATTGCTGTCCATTAGATGTACGTTTTAAGTTTGATTGCATTAAATAACAGCACACTTTTACAGTATGGAAGCCTTTTCCACTTCAGAGTTTAAAAATAAATCATAATTGTGAGATTAAAGAATTTTAATAAGAAATAAAGCTGTACTTGTGAGATATAGACATACTCTGAGAGATGTAATGTCACAATTCTGAGAATTAAAATTGCACTTATAATTTCAATAAAGTTGAAATTATGAGAAATTGCATTGTTTCTCATATTTCTCATAAAACAGTCCACTAAATTAATAAATGTTAACATTCATAAAAACACAATTACCTTTTTTATTTTTGTACTCTGAAGATGAAACATGCTTTCATGAAAATCTTTTGATTGTGAGTGGAAACAAATCTTTATTGAAGGAATGGCAACATAATGTACAGAAATATACTGCCTGAGTTCCATTTTTACTGTGTGGGTTGTTACAATGTTGGATGTATAATTAGATTATACGACACATAGATACACTGGATTGTGTAGAGAAGCTAGCTCTGTGTGTGTGTGTGTGTGTGTGTGTTGGAGCACTGAGCTGTGGAATAGGCCTGTTAGTCAGTCCACCTCTCAGCTTTCAGATGTCTATTTGACAGTGCGGGGTGCGTTTTGCTGCCTGTCGTTGCTGTGGACAACAGCAGTGACCCGAGCAGAGTGTGTGACGAAGCATTTCTGAGTTTGTGTTGAGTCTTGTCAGACTTGGACCGCCTGGACTACAGACACACACACACACACACACACACATACAAGATGTATTCAACTAACTGCTAGAATCTGACCACATTTACACTCGATGGAGTCATGATTCAGGAGTGGTTACCAGTGTGTTATGTGGTATCTATCTATCTATCATAGAGGGCAATGGGCTCAATTACTGATTCTAATATTTTCAGCCAAATTCTAATGGGGATTTCTATAGGACATTGCCGTTTTATGGTGTAGAAGGCCCTGCGTGCTTTATCTCTCAGTTCATTCACAGCATGATTAAAGTTTCCCGTGGATTTGATTTTCAAACCCAGGTAGTTGTAGTGTGATGTGTGTGTTATCTGCTTAGTGCCTAGTGTAAATGTGTGTTGTGTTCCCTGGGATCTGGATCTTTTCTGAAAGATCATAATTTTGGTTTTCTTCAGGTTGACTGTCAGAGCCCAGGTCTGGCAGTATTCCTCTAGCAGGTCCAGGTTCTGCTGTAAAGCTATAGATAAATAAAGCTGATAGATAAACTATCTATCTATCTATCTATCTATCTGTCTGTCTGTCTGTCTGTCTGTCTATCTGTCTATCTATCTGTCTGTCTGTCTGTCTGTCTGTCTATCTGTCTATCTATCTGTCTGTCTGTCTGTCTGTCTGTCTATCTGTCTGTCTGTCTGTCTGTCTGTCTGTCTGTCTGTGTCTGTCTGTATCATTTGGCTGATCTATCTGTCTGTCTGTCTGTCTGTGTCTGTCTGTCTATCATTTGGCTGATCTATCTGTCTGTCTGTCTGTTATTCTGAAATTGTACTGTTGTTCTATCATTGAGTCATTTTATTTAAACGTTCATTCTAAAATTATATGAATTATATAAGTTTTTATTTTTTATTTCCTCAAATCCAGATTTTAGAATTCCACATTATGCTTGATGCGTCAATTTGAAAAGGCATTGGGAGTTCATTTCTGAATAGGTATAACCCTGGTTGCTAGGATGTTCTGGGTCATTGCTAGGTGGTTTCTTAAGTCAAAGGCTCAAGCAGGGCTCTGAACCGGTTCAAGGAACGAAAATGAAAACCGGAAACGAAAGAAATTATGACTGGAACAGAA